TGTGTTGTGTTTTCAAAATACGCGCACAATTCCAACTTGTGTAATTTCAAATCCCATCCTAGGCGACCTGTTGCCCGGTATGAATGCTACGCTTTTATAAAATTTGCCGTTATTGCTGCCATAATAGCATATTATAAAGCTAGTATTTTTCTTCTCTGACAATTTGAGTTTTAGTGGCGCCGTTAACCTTGTTTAAGGTCAAAAGGGATGGGTGGTGAATGGGTGTAGTCTTGCATGACACACTTCCTTCAAAGCGAAAATTAAATTGATGGCTGTAAAACAATGGTTGAAGTGTGGTAATAAAAATTTTAAACAACAAAGGAAACGTAGCCTATTGAAGAAAATTGATTGATTTGCAATTTAAAAATGCGACATTAGCGAATGTTTACGAAATGCATCTGCGTTGGCATTGTTTGAAAAAATATTTGATTGGCAGTTTTCYTTTAATATTCGCTTACTTGGCGATCTTTTGGGCTATGGACTGTATAGAGAATATTACGCCCGTACCTAGATATGAAGGACTTTTATTATAGATAGAGACATACATATGTAGATGTACATTCCGTTAACACTTTGAGAACACTGGTTTCTGGCTATAGGCGTAATGAAATTCAAAACCGTTTAGTTATTGCTACAGCCACAACCGTCGCTGTAAATGCGTTCCATTAACCACAAAAGRTTTCAATGTTTCTCTTTATCAAATTTGTTGTCCTTATTCAGCAGCTACGAGTTAATTATGGTTTAATTGCTACACAATAAATAAAATTTTGTTTGTGAATATTTCCGTATGCGATAGAAACTCTGTAAATATTTACTCTACCACATGTCATGTGTACATTCTTACATACATAAAACCCACCAGTTTATGGTTTCTTGTAATAGTGTTTATTTTCTTTACTTGCATCCATAAACAAACGTATRTACACATATAAACACATACGTTTTGTGCTTGCGTATGTAAATTTTTATGTTCCATTATTTACCATTTTGACATTTATATTTTCAATTTAAASTGAAATCTCCCTTATTCAACAAATAGTCGATAACTTCATCGCAATATACATTCTTAYATATCGTCACCTGAAATACAAAATAACGTATCATCAAAAAAGTCAAAATTTAGTGTCTTATTGATTACGCTTCACTACTTCAAATTACTTACATAATATTACATATGTATGTTCATCATTTTCAGGTTCTGCGCTCAGATATAAACCAGTTTTAACCAATATTAAAATTTTTTTCACTAATGCTCCATTTTCTTTCGTGTTTCATTCATGCCACTGTAAATTTCCGAAAGTGTTGTTACGTTATTTTGCATCTCAGGTGACGATGTGTAGTATATGGTATATGTAAATACATACATATATGTATATTCGTATGTAGAATGATATCTCTAGCATTTTATTTATTTCATAAATAWGACATCTTACGTTATGGTAATCAGGCCACGAATTATCCCACTTGGACAACTAAGGCATCCATCAAAAAGACAGTCAAAATAAAAAGTCTGATCTCAATTCTAACCAATTTGCTTGGTTCGTAGAAGGTATGACTATATCACGGAAAACTCCTCAGACTTTTTACCAATAACCCTAGCGTTTTGATACACATTATAACATAGATGGGTACATATGTACCTTTCATAAAACATGATAATAATATACATACATGTAACAATTCCTGCTTGAGATCTAAAATAAAAAATTTGACAATGTAGATTCGCCGAAACAGTACTTTTTGATAAACCCACGYAAAGCCTGGACAACATCGAAMGAAATATTATACAAACAAAGAACTTACATCAATGAATATATTTGTATATATGTATGTATGTATATATYCTGGTACACTTTTAYGCTCTATTTCTTGCACTTTGAGAAATTGCGTAGGCCACTAACTGTTCTGGACTAAGAACTCCCGGTCTAACTGCGCACACACATTAATGTATCCATGGATAAGTGTTCTAATTGTGTCTTCACAAATTATCAAGTATAAGCGGCCAGCGAAATTTCCGCTAAAACAAGCAAAACGCTTTTTAAAGACAAAAACTAATACTAGTGTACTTATATTTTATTGCATATGTATCTATGATTGTTTTATATACACATTTACCGTTTTATTTGACGCTAATGCACAAAAATGCAAATAAACAATGCAATAATTCTTTTAGAAGATAAACATTTATTTTGCACAAAAGTGATAAATTTCTCCGAAATAAAATTGTGAAAAAATATAACGAATAATCCCATACCCATTCAAAATTGAAGTGGAACTTAAGTACTTCTCCAATTATATAGGTCAGGTTTTTAAGAAGTACTAGTCACCTGCTTGTTGATGTTCTAAACACACTCAGGAGTTATTGGCATTTTCATTATAATATTTATTTTTTAAGGTTCTGTATCTAAACCCACTTCTTTTGCCACAATTCACTATCATAGGTTCAGAAAATCTAGGAAATTTTAATAGAATTTTAGAGATAACAGGACTGCATAACCATTTGCCGAAGCGCCATATAGTATGTATGTAAAGTGAAAATATTAACCCATTTAATGGGTTGAATTCAAAAATCGGTGCTTTTCGAAACAAAATTCCAAGTCTTCKTTGTACTTATGCTCTGGAACATGAATTCAAGACATTCAATCCTTTATTATTGAATAGTTTTGTAGATTCGTTAAGACTACAGACTATCTGAGGAGGACGAGGTAGGTAGATAGATATTTTCATTATTCAGTATGAGTTTTATATCGTATATCATTCATATTGCTATTTTGTGGCTTTATTTGAGTAGCTATTGCAAAAAGAAAGAAAAATTCGTAGAGAATGCAAAATAAAATTGATAAATGTCTGAAAGCTTCATGTTCCCATAAATCATACTTCTGTTGAAATTGCTGTAATATTCTCCATTGACTTGTTCGCTTTGCGAACTTTTGTGGGAAATCAAATAAAAATACTCATTTTAGTGTTTCATCATTTATTTTGATTTTGTATTAGTGTTTAGTTTTCGGAGAAACCCCCGAGAATAATGTACTTTACTCAAACGATATTCACGGCAAACATACAAATACTAGAAATTGTGCGTAAGTTTATTATTAATTATGGAATAGGGAATTTGATAAACTAATAAAGGAAAGAAAGCACAATCGTGTGACGGGAGTGTGAGCCTGTTTGRGTTGGCGTGAGTTAGTTGATAAATTGCATTTATGTTCATTAAGCCATCAAAGTGTTATCATTAACGGAAAATCAATATACCGTTATTAATACGTAACCAACAGCAGCAAAAGTGGCTATAATTAGCTGTAGATTAGCAGTGAAAATAAAATAAGTAAATTATATACATRTRTATGTGTATAAATGATTATTAGTGCATGACCATTTGTATTGAAACAAAACATTTTAATATAAAAACACAAATAATGATGCCGTTAAGCGGATATTCGCTGGAATTAAGTGTTGGGCGAATTTAATAAAGTGATAAGCRAATCGATATTACTTGTTCAATCCATTAGGTAAAACTGGCAATTGAAGTTGGAGGATGGAAACTATCGACTTTTGTACATATTTCTGTTTSTATTTTTCAAAGAAATAACCTACAATTSAAATAAACTAGCGCCTACTATTTCGTTTTTATCTAGGTAAAAAATTGCTGGGGTTTCATGGCTATCTTTACTTCATATTTTACTTTGTCTGTTCTCCAATGTCCTACATAGTAGAATTCGGCTTGTAATAGTCCGTTGACATACTTTCAAGGATTCTCTTTCCACCTTTCACTTCAACAGTTCCTGATAGTTTGCTTCAATTATTAGGCAAATAAAAATACTTCCCCAAAGAAATTGTTGACAAAAATAATCAAATTAACTAGAAATAGTGTAGTGAAGGTTTCGAAGAACATCATTAAAATTTTGTAATAAGAAAATAAATAAATTTTTTAAGTGTTGGTTTTATTCAAAATTCAATTTTAAAAATCTATAAAAGTAAACAGAAATTTGGTGTACCCATTATGAGATTATATACTATATGTTAATTACATTACACACATTAACATAGAGAGTTTGCCTCACGCTCTATTAGCTATACAAAAAACAACGAACGTGATTAATGTTAATTAGCGAATTAGCGGCGCGTTGAAAATTCGAGTAATATCAGACTCAAAAGCATTCGATTTTTAAAATAGAATAACTAGCTGCTGAAGCAAAACTTTGTAGATATTTATTCGGACGAAGTAACAAATGTCTAGAAAATATTAGAAAAAGCTACTAATTGTCTAATATAATAATTTTATACCAACAAATCACCAGTTGTCACTTCACACCATCACTGTTGTGGTTAAAAAAAGAARARAAAAATGCAATTTTCACGAATTGTGAAATATAATTAGTAAGCTCCGTTGGGTCTTATTTAAATTATTAAGTATTTATTTACATGCATAAATATATAATAATTACGTACGTAAATAATTTGTACTCTTTTCACCAATGCTGGGATTCCCAAACTTTTTGGACTCTTAATTACCATTAATAGGATATTGAGAGTACTTCGACGGCATTCACTTGTTTGTATTTAAGACTGTTTTAAACTCATATAGTAGTCAAGTCCTCACTTTGAACTTTTTAAAACTGGAGAAACGTCGAATTATTCAGGTATACATCCATTGATTTAGCAGGGTAAGCCGGCTGTTATTTTGTGGCATAAGTTACTTTGGTTTCTGTATAGGAAGTTTAAAAAATTCTATTGGAGCAAATTTTCGATGCCGTTCAAATTATAAAATATGTCAGTGTCTAGTGTGTCAGGTAATTGTTTGTCTCTTTCTAAATATTTGAGTAGCTGAACTGTTGAAAATGCGTATGTATGTATATACAAGTGTATTTATGCATATTGAGTACATTATATTTTTTCCACTATTATAACTTCTTCTCCGAAAAAAATACCGAAACAATCCACAATGTGGGTAGCTAATATGCCGCCATTCACAGTTATGTTGTCGATAATGCATTGATAACCGCATATTATCATTTTAGCTTTGAAAATGTCTTATCGCCCACTCTTCAACAAATTGATGTCCAACGCCGTGCTGCGTCAGTTGGTAGTGCGACAGAGCCCGGTAAGTGAAAATGTATATGTATACTTATTTTTTAAACAAATGAAAATTTAAATTTATCTGCAAAAAATTTTCCAGTTGGTAATGCGCACGCAATTGCAACACAGCCTCAGTAAGTGCACCATATGACATTGGCATTATGAATAAATATTAACAAAAAGAAATTGCTTCAATTTTGCAGAACCAAGAACCCCGCTGAATAAACCATCGATGTTCAGTCCGACGATCATTAAGCGTTACTGGGAGGTAAGTTTTGAAAAAAACTGTTAATGAGCACTTTATTTAAATGATAAAATGATATTGTTAATATTTTACGGCGGGAAATCACACATCATAGTATTATTTATTATAGCAAAAGCTCATTTTATCATTTCTGTGTTTAGTCAGAAAAAAGGTCAAACATATGGTTTTTTATAGTTTTTAAGAATTTCTTAGAAATAAGAATTATTTATGTATATTTACTTATTTACTTCGAATTGTGGAGTGACTACGCGGCGCTAGGGTAACAAAAAAATTGAGTTATTTGAATTCATAATATTATATATAACTAATACATATGAATGTAACTCTGTTACTGCAAATTCATAATTTTATTATTAACAGACGTTAAGTCGAGGATTTATGACTAAAACGTAGTCATAGAAATTTGCTGTTCGTTTCTATTTGTAATTGATTTCTGTCGTAAYATATTAGTCATTTCATATTTAATACTTTAAACTATAAAAATATACTATATACTGCAAACCAGTTTTGAAAACATAGATTGACAAGAGTTCAAATAGCTAAGTCTTCAACCCTAACTAACTCATCTTTCGACAGCATTTTCAACATGCTTGAGACTATTCCCAGAACATTCAGTCTTTCTATCATTATTAACTGCATTTCAAGCATTTAACAGCTTAGAACTTTCAATATACGGCCTTGTATGGTTTTACACTCACATTTCGATACGCGTACGTCTGCCGTTTAAAATCTATACTGTAGACAGTAGTACCGGCAGAAGAATGCTTGTCCAACTTGGTCGCAGTAGTGCGCTACAAATATAGAATATAATAAGACCTCCAAGTTGCCGCTATATAAATATCGCTCGCTTTTGCGCTTTTTTAATGTGTTGGTAAGACAACCTGATATCTTTGAATTATTTATGCCTTATAACATATACGTACATATGTATATAAATGTTTCTTATGGGTAAGAAAAATCTATTAATATAACAGATATAACAATATCTTCAACCAAGACTTTTACTTACCACTGTCCTTGTACATTTGTTGTTGAACCAAAAAATGGATTTTCAGAAATTTAACGAGTGTTTTATATCGCGGAAAATGTTTAAAATTTGCAAAAATTTAAATGAAGTGAGTTAGATTAATTTTATGTAAATGAAACTCATTGAAGACTTTTTGGTGAAATATAGTGTATTATTTATTGCTCCCCCGTCAGTATGTAAAATCCTGCATATTATGAAAGATTCTGAATGTTGTGGAATGTTGAAGAATTTTAATTACAATAATGAAAATTGTTTTAGATGATTTTTGTGTTGTTGAT